TCCTTCCTCCTCACTCAAGGATCGGCTATTAATTTTCTGGAATTTCAATCGCAAAGTGTTGTTTGGTTCCCGAGAAAACACAGGAAAATGATTTGTAGAAATGTTGAAGTTTTTCATCTTTAATTTTCACTGTTTAATGAAGTTTTCACTTAATCGAGATCGTTAGATTCGATTTTTCGCCTACTTCTTGCATTTGGATGACATATTCTCTAGGTTCAATATCAGTTCTATACGCTTTCATGCACGAGAGTTCTTATCATCTAGGATTCTCAAATATTTGAGTTAAAATATGAGCTTGATTTTTATTTTTCCTTATTAATTCCAGGTTTGATTTATAATTCACAGTATCTTTTGTTTGATTTGTATGGGAATATGCTAAAAAAAAATAAACTTTGAGTTGTGTACCATATGAATTTTCAATCACCTCCATTTCTAATTGGTTCTTTGTTTGATTAGAAAATATAAAAAAATTGAAAGAGTTCAGTATAAAACATTGGACCAAGAAAGAGACACTATTTATGAAACTGGACCAAGAAGACACTATTTATGAAACATGACAAAAAACTAGGCATTATATATGAAAGTGGACTAAGAACTAGGCATTATTAATGAAATTTGACCAAGAATAAGGCACTATTTACAAAACTGTACAAATTACTATAAACTATTTATAAAATATGACCCAATAACTAAGCATTATTTATGAAAGTGAACCAAGAACTAGGCACTATTTATGAATCTGGACCAATAAATAGTGTCATATCGTTCAGTTTCATAAATATTATAGTACCGTTGAGTTTCATAAATAATATAGCACTGTTGAGTTTCATAAATAGTATACTACCATTAAGTTTCATAAACACTATAGTACTCTTTCATAAACAATGATTGTGATGGACGCATGGATCTCATGCGCTAGGTTTTATATATATATATATATATATATAATTGTCTCCCCTTTATTAAAATTTAAGGTTTTTCATTCAAATTTAAGTTTTTTTCATTAAATAAAGTTATAACATGATTTTTTTATTAAAATAAACTTAACCCAAGCCTTTTTCATAAAAGCTCTCTTTATTTAATTTGCTTCATAATAAAATCCATAGAGGGCCCAGTTTGTAATCTTTTAAAGAAACTGTCATGGAAAGCCACTCGCTACTATGGTCTCCTAGTATTCTTCTTTACTTTTAAGTAAAAGGTTTTAGGTTCGATATAAAACTTGCAGGAGAAGGGGCTTTTTTTTTTTTTTTTTGAAGAAAAAAAATATGCATTCTTAGAGAGAAATAGTTGAGTTCATTAACATAAGGACAAGAGAAAGAAAAAAAACCAAAAAAATGCCTAACAAAAGTGTGTGCAAGCGACTGCATCTCTGTCAAATACGTGATCCTCCACTAATAAAGAACAACAATATGAGGAAGCAAACGATTTTTTCAAACCATCAGTCGGTAGTCTTTTTCCAATCAAAAGTCCATCTCTCTTCAAATCTCCTAGAAATTCAACTGTGTTTCAAGCAAAGGAAGTTGAAGATCAACGAGGCCTATGATTTCAACTCCATCTCGGTCCTTCCTCCTCACTCAAGGATCGGCTATTAATTTTCTGGAATTTCAATCGCAAAGTGTTGTTTGGTTCCCGAGAAAACACAGGAAAATGATTTGTAGAAATGTTGAAGTTTTTCATCTTTAATTTTCACTGTTTAATGAAGTTTTCACTTAATCGAGATCGTTAGATTCGATTTTTCGCCTACTTCTTGCATTTGGATGACATATTCTCTAGGTTCAATATCAGTTCTATACGCTTTCATGCACGAGAGTTCTTATCATCTAGGATTCTCAAATATTTGAGTTAAAATATGAGCTTGATTTTTATTTTTCCTTATTAATTCCAGGTTTGATTTATAATTCACAGTATCTTTTGTTTGATTTGTATGGGAATATGCTAAAAAAAAATAAACTTTGAGTTGTGTACCATATGAATTTTCAATCACCTCCATTTCTAATTGGTTCTTTGTTTGATTAGAAAATATAAAAAAATTGAAAGAGTTCAGTATAAAACATTGGACCAAGAAAGAGACACTATTTATGAAACTGGACCAAGAAGACACTATTTATGAAACATGACAAAAAACTAGGCATTATATATGAAAGTGGACTAAGAACTAGGCATTATTAATGAAATTTGACCAAGAATAAGGCACTATTTACAAAACTGTACAAATTACTATAAACTATTTATAAAATATGACCCAATAACTAAGCATTATTTATGAAAGTGAACCAAGAACTAGGCACTATTTATGAATCTGGACCAATAAATAGTGTCATATCGTTCAGTTTCATAAATATTATAGTACCGTTGAGTTTCATAAATAATATAGCACTGTTGAGTTTCATAAATAGTATACTACCATTAAGTTTCATAAACACTATAGTACTCTTTCATAAACAATGATTGTGATGGACGCATGGATCTCATGCGCTAGGTTTTATATATATATATATATATATATAATTGTCTCCCCTTTATTAAAATTTAAGGTTTTTCATTCAAATTTAAGTTTTTTTCATTAAATAAAGTTATAACATGATTTTTTTATTAAAATAAACTTAACCCAAGCCTTTTTCATAAAAGCTCTCTTTATTTAATTTGCTTCATAATAAAATCCATAGAGGGCCCAGTTTGTAATCTTTTAAAGAAACTGTCATGGAAAGCCACTCGCTACTATGGTCTCCTAGTATTCTTCTTTACTTTTAAGTAAAAGGTTTTAGGTTCGATATAAAACTTGCAGGAGAAGGGGCTTTTTTTTTTTTTTTTTGAAGAAAAAAAATATGCATTCTTAGAGAGAAATAGTTGAGTTCATTAACATAAGGACAAGAGAAAGAAAAAAAAACCAAAAAAATGCCTAACAAAAGTGTGTGCAAGCCACTGCATCTCTGTCAAATACGTGATCCTCCACTAATAAAGAACAACAATATGAGGAAGCAAACGATTTTTTCAAACCATCAGTCGGTAGTCTTTTTCCAATCAAAAGTCCATCTCTCTTTAAATCTCCTAGAAATTCAACTGCGTGTCAAGCAAAGGAAGTTGAAGATCAACGAGGCCTATGATTTCAGCTCATCTCGGTCCTTCCTCCTCACTCAAGGATCGGCTATTAATTTTCTGGAATTTCAATCGCAAAGTGTTGTTTGGTTCCCGAGAAAACACAGGAAAATGATTTGTAGAAATGTTGAAGTTTTTCATCTTTAATTTTCACTGTTTAATGAAGTTTTCACTTAATCGAGATCGTTAGATTCGATTTTTCGCCTACTTCTTGCATTTGGATGACATATTCTCTAGGTTCAATATCAGTTCTATACGCTTTCATGCACGAGAGTTCTTATCATCTAGGATTCTCAAATATTTGAGTTAAAATATGAGCTTGATTTTTATTTTTCCTTATTAATTCCAGGTTTGATTTATAATTCACAGTATCTTTTGTTTGATTTGTATGGGAATATGCTAAAAAAAAATAAACTTTGAGTTGTGTACCATATGAATTTTCAATCACCTCCATTTCTAATTGGTTCTTTGTTTGATTAGAAAATATAAAAAAATTGAAAGAGTTCAGTATAAAACATTGGACCAAGAAAGAGACACTATTTATGAAACTGGACCAAGAAAGAGACACTATTTATGAAACTGGACCAAGAAGACACTATTTATGAAACATGACAAAGAACTAGGCATTATATATGAAAGTGGACTAAGAACTAGGCATTATTAATGAAATTTGACCAAGAATAAGGCACTATTTACAAAACTGTACAAATTACTATAAACTATTTATAAAATATGACCCAATAACTAAGCATTATTTATGAAAGTGAACCAAGAAATAGGCACTATTTATGAATCTGGACCAATAAATAGTGTCATATCGTTCAGTTTCATAAATATTATAGTACCGTTGAGTTTCATAAATAATATAGCACTGTTGAGTTTCATAAATAGTATACTACCATTAAGTTTCATAAACACTATAGTACTCTTTCATAAACAATGATTGTGATGGACGCATGGATCTCATGCGCTAGGTTTTATATATATATATATATATATATATATATATAATTGTCTCCCCTTTATTAAAATTTAAGGTTTTTCATTCAAATTTAAGTTTTTTTCATTAAATAAAGTTATAACATGATTTTTTTATTAAAATAAACTTAACCCAAGCCTTTTTCATAAAAGCTCTCTTTATTTAATTTGCTTCATAATAAAATCCATAGAGGGCCCAGTTTGTAATCTTTTAAAGAAACTGTCATGGAAAGCCACTCACTACTATGGTCTCCTAGTATTCTTCTTCACTTGTAAGTAAAAGGTTTTAGGTTCGATTCTTGTCAAAGATAAATTTGAACCACATTATTGTTAGTTCATTGTGAGGTTAAGCTCACATCCTCCTTTAATGTAGATAATATTGGTTTAAAAAAATAATAAATAAATAAATAAAACGGTTTCATGGAAAGCCATTGGAAACTTCGCACAAAGGGGTAGATGAAGGCAAATACAAGACAGTTTCTTATGGTCAAGGAAGGGACGTATCGAAGAAAAGGCAAATACAAGACAGTTTCTTATAGATAAGGCAAAAACATGATACCAGGCGGAGAGAGTTTTGCTTTGAGAACAATTTAGGCTTTTGTTTCGAGTAGTCTTAGGCAAATACAAGTCAGTTTCTAATAGTCAAGTAAAAAATATGATACCAGACGGTCTAGTGGTATTGCTCTTAACTTGTAAGTAAGAGGTTTTAAATTCGATTTTCGCCAATGGCAAATTTGAACTACATTATTGATAACTCATTGTAAGGTTAAGTTCACCTTCTCTCCTTATGGTAGATAATATCGTTGAAAAAAAAAAAACAAAAACGAAAAAACAAAAAAACAAAAAAGGGAAAAACTCTTTCATGGAAAGCCATTGGAGACTTCACAGAAAAGGGCAGATGAAGGTAAGTACAAGACAGTTTCTTATAGTCAAGGAAGAGACTTAACAAAGAAAAGGCAAGGAAGCTGCGAAGGAGTTGACCTGACTTCTTCAACGCGTCCAATTCTTCTTACATAAGTACCCCATCATTGTGATATTATCAAGAGGGGAAGATTCCTGCATATAAAAGATCGGTATTTTTGTGATTGAGAAGAGGAAGAAGGTGCAGACCATTTGTCAAATAAAAAATCCATCACACTACCGTCGCTCCGCCCGGAACTTGGACGCAGATGGACTAGAAGAGCCAGAAGAGAAAGCAGTCTGCACTGAGCTTTTCCAGTCACGCAAAGCAAACCTTTTTTTTTTTAACACACGTAGCAGGTACATTTTTACTTCCTATCTCCCTTCTCTCTCTTTTCATTTGCTTTGTATTTTTCTCTAATCTCGTAATGTTTATTGGCTCATCCAATTCGTGAAGCTTTCACTGTTTTATTTTTCACTTCCAACATTGTGTTTGGAAATTGAAATTGAGCAGAAGGGTTAGGGGATTGCTGCAAAATTTCTCTAGGAAAAAAAAAAATCAGCGTATCTAGTGAGAGAGAGTTTTATACTTTATTCTATTCATCAAGCCTTTTCTTCGGCTTGATAAGATTGTTCTTCTTGTACCCATTATTTTGATATAGTGGAAGATTGATTGCTGGTCCGTGCACGTAGGGCACAAATTGCCAAACAACTTAAATTCTTGATGTCTATCTTTTCACTTTACATTATATTTTTTTTTTCCATATTGTAGTACCGTCGATCCTAACATCTATATTATTGTATACCGACCTTCCTTCTTCATGCCGATTCGCATAATTAGTAGGAACTTTTCAAGAGCATAAGAAACAGAGTTTTGTATGAACTTGGTGCATTCCATTTGAATTCTTTTAAGGCATTTGGGGTGGGATGTATAAAGGTCTATGTGTGTTTTCTCTTACAAAAATCGGGTGTGTATATTTTCGATTCTTGGGTTAATTTTGTCAATTACGTTGATTAGTTTTGATTGTTGTCATATTTTCTCAATAGTTGGTTGAGCTTGTTGAAAATATCATAGTGAAAAATTTGTTTGTTGTTGTGTTAGTGATCAACATCTCGTTGTCAGCAATTACGATTTGGAGCAACAAACATATCAGCAATAAAAATGGAAGGAAGCAACGAAGCTCCACATGACATCGAAAACCCATACATTCCGTTAGCAAAATCAATGAATCAGGGGTTGGATGCTTTGGCTCCCTTGTCCTCTTCGTGTTGTATCTACAGAGTTCCTGAACGACTGCGGCGTGCAAGTGAAAAGGCCTACACACCTCAAGTAGTCTCTATAGGTCCTCTTCACCATGGAAGGGAAGGCCTACAAGCCATGGAAGAGCACAAAAAGAGGTACCTACGAGATTTTATACGCAGAACCAGGGTCGGCTTGGAGGACTATATAAAGATAATAAAGGACAAAGAGGGCAAGATACGCAGTTGTTACGCAGAAACTATCGAGTTTAGCAGTGATGACTTTGTGAGAATTGTTCTAGTGGATGCAGCATTCATTATTGAGGTCTTGTTGAGGCACCGTTTCCATGAATTCCAGGACGAGAATGATCGTATATTTAACAAACCATGGATGGTGCAGGACGTATGGCCTGACATACGGCTGCTTGAAAATCAGTTGCCATTCTTCGTTCTTGAGGATCTTTTTGACCCAGATAAAATCGATGTACCTTCTGATAGTAAGTGTACTGAGAGGCTTTCGATAATCAAACTTTCTCTCGCATTCTTCAAAGATCTGATGCATATAAAAGGAGCGGATGGAAATTTCGATAAAATGTGTGCTTATAAAACAGAACATTTTGTCGATTTTTGTAGAAACTTATATCTACAGCTACCACTAGAACGGCAGGTTAAGGGGAAACTCGAAACTCTAAACACACCAAGCATCACAGAGTTACACCGGGCAGGAGTCAAGTTCAGAGTGGGATCAGCCAAAAACTTACTCGACATACAATTCAATGATGGGATTCTAGAAATTCCAAAATTGACAATTAGTGATGAAACAGCACTTACAGTCAGAAACCTCCTTGCCTTTGAACAATGCCACTCTATGGAGAATTACATGAATGACTACGTTGTCATCATGGATCGTTTCGTGAACACTGCAAAGGATGTGGAGTTGCTTGTTAAGCACGGAATTGTTGAAAATAGGCTTGGTGACAGCAGTGGAGGGTCTACTCTGATCAACAACCTTGCCGACGGGGTCATAGTGGACTCGAACGACTTCTATTTTGCTACTCTTTGTGAAGACCTGAACAGGTACTGCAAAACCTCATGGCACAAATGGAAGGCAAATTTAAGACAAAATTATTGCAACACGCCTTGGGCAACTCTATCTATTGCTGCAGCTGTTTTGCTCCTCGTACTCACTCTCATACAGTCAGTGTGCTCTGTTGTCTCAGTTCTGCAAAAGAAATGATTAATTAGACCTTGTTCTCTTTGCTTCTTGTTGTCAAATATGAAATTTTATTACTTTCTTGTTAATAAGAGAGCTGCTATATTTTAGTAACTGCATTCAAGTGGTCATAAGATCTGCATTACATGTTTATATTAGCCAGATTGTAGATTGTTCATGACCAAGGATGTATGATGACCATGACAATGATAATTGTGTCATCATTTCGTGATTTATAGCACTTGACACTTGCAGATGGCCAATTTCAAATATTTAAGCACTCATCAGTCTGTTGTTGTGTCCAAATCTGCTTCTCCGAAAACCAATGGCCTAAGAACTCCTAGAACTCAGCACAGTTGCTGCAACAACTTCTCCATTTCTCGCTTGTTATGGGCAGCAGTCTTAACTTCGATGCATTCTGAAATTTAAAGTCACGGGCTTAGACAACCGTTGCTCAAACATGAATCCCATGTACAAAAAACGTGTTTCCTCTATATGTAAGAACTCTGCCCTCAGTCCCTACACACCATACATGGCCTTGCAGTTGTAAAGCTCCTTTCATCCCTGCTGTTTCCCATACAAACTTGAAAAGCCCAAGAGCCCTGTCTAACTGCCTCACCCCGCTCCACACCATCTCCTCCTCGTCTGAAGTCACAATCCTTCCCATGCACAAGTAGAAATCATCCCCACTACCACAGCTATAAATACCACCGCGTATGTCCACTTCAATATCTCTAACACGCCCATAGAGGTAATATAACAAAAGTGTGAACAAGCACTTTGATGAATGACCCAATGTCTTCGTCAACTTCTTCTGCACTAAGCTTTCTTGATGCCGGACTTCCTTGTGTCCTATACTTCGATCAGTCAGCACATCCTTGATTTGAGACAGCCCCTCTTTCATTACCTCAAGCTTTTCTATGGAAGTAAGTAACCTCCTTTCATTTTTCAACCAATCAATGAGGTCGTTGAACATCTCAAGAACATCTTCCCATTTTTGCAAACCAGAAGAGTCAATAACTTTGGCAGGCACAAGGCGTGTCCATGAAGAGAAGTCGTTTTCATATGAAATGGAGGTGGATGTGTCGGCCAAGAACTTTAGACAGCTAGAAACTATCTGCTGCCCCATTTTTATCCCATTGCTTGGGTACTGATAATCTAGATAATCCAACTCGGATTTCAATCCATTGAGTACCTCCTCGAGCATCCCTGTCCATATGCGATGTTGTGTGACCTGTGGGGATATTGTGACACGCACCGACTGCCTTTGTTGGGCAGAGATGTTCAGAAAGCCACCTACTACCGAGAGTGAATTCACAATCATGGGCTCCCTTTCAGTAGGTGTACCAAAACACACAAACGGATTATAGATTCTACCTCCTGACAATGCCGCCACATTATTCCTCAGCTCTTTCTGTACTAATGGAGCTCCAATAAAGACCCTGGCAAGTGACTTGAAAGTAAGCATTCTCTTTTCAGTACGATCATCAATGATAATCGAATCATCACTGACATTGACGAGCCTTCCATCAATCAAGTCAACATTTTTTAACAACTGGGTTAATCTTGTCAACTTCGGGAATGCCCTCTGATACCACTCTGGGGGCAAAGGCTCTTCACGAGACTCCTCCGACCAATGAAACAGCTTCACATTCACATGCAACGCTCCATTTCGCTTAGCCATTAGATGCTTTGCACCGTAGATAAACTTCTCTATATGTCTACAGGTCATTGTTCGCTGCAAAAAAATGTACTCTCTAAATTACCCTTCAAGCCGGCACTCCGAAATTAAACTGCAACAGCAAGAGGACAATGACTTCATTGAGACAATAAATCAAACAGATGGGGTGCAAGTTTATTGTCTTCACAGATGACTCGAACAACCAACCATTCGAGAAGGTTTAATCGGAAATAACAAAGGTAAGGTGGATAAGATTGAAACCTTCCCTTTAATCTTGTGGTTGGTACAGAAATCGTGAGAGAAACCATGCCACTCGTGGAAATTGGAGATTATGGAGGGGGCGAGACAACAGCTATTAAATGCCGGGAAATATAAGGCCATTTCTAACCCTAACCTAAAACCTAAAAATATTTAACTCAAAAAATTTAGGTTTTAATCTAAAAATAGTTTTACTGCTTCAATTATTCTAGCTTAAAATTTTAACCCAGAATTATTAAATAATGAACTTAAGCTAATTTTTTCTTAAATTAATTTTTTTTTTAAATAAAATTATGTATATTATCGTAATTTAATTTTATAAATATTTTAATATCTAAATATTAAAAGCAATGGCGTATCTGAAATTTTGATTTAAAAACTCGACTTTATGCACGCACGGTCGTGGGCAGGAAATCTTATGTTGGATCCATAATTTCAAAAAAGGGCTTTATTGGACATCAATTGTAGGCAATAACAGACCAACCTAATACAATATATAAATGTGATATTCTTTTTCTATATATATCAATAATATTCTATTCTAAGATCATCTCCAATTTATAGAATAAAGCTTAAAATATAAGCTTTAAAATCCCCCAGTCCTCCACCTATTGGACTAAAATAAGTCATGGGGAGAAAATATATCTTTGGGCTAGATTGCTCCCACCCCTCAAGAATTTAAATCTGCTTAAATTATTTTGAACTCACCAAACTGCCATATTTCAACATTTTTTTTGTTTTTTTCTTACAATCTAATGGCTATGATCAAATGAGATCAAATCTAATGGTAAAAAAAGGATTTGGCGGCCCAAAATTAAATCTAATGTCTAAAACTGTGACATCCCACATCGCTCAGGGGAGTGATCCTTATATGTATATTCTCATCTCTACCTAGCACGAGGCCTTTTGGGAGCTCACTGACTTCGGGTTTCATCGGAACTCCGAAGTTAAGCGAGTAGCGCGCCAGAGCACTCCTAGGATGGGTGATCCATTGGAAAGTTCTCGTGTGAGTTCCTAGAAACAAGACCGTGAGGGCGTGGTCGGGGCCCAAAGCGGACAATATCGTGCTACGGTGGTGGAGCAAGGCTGGGAAGTGATCCACCCTGGGCCGGGATATGACAATTTGGTATCAAAGCCTAACCCTGGTCGTGGTATGCCGACGAGGACGTCGGGCCCCTAAGGGGGTGGATTGTGACATCACACATTGCCCAAGGGAGTGATCCTTATATGTATATTCCCATCTCTACCTAGCACGAGGCCTTTTGGGAGCTCACTAACTTCGGGTTCCATCGGAACTCTGAAGTTAAGCGAGTAGCACGCGAGAGCATTCTCAGGATGGATGACCCATCAGGAAGTTCTCGCGTGAGTTCCTAGAAACAAAACCGTGAGGGTGTGGTCGAGGTCCAAAGCGGACAATATCGTGCTACGGTGGTGGAGCGGGCCCGGGAAATGGTCCCTCCCGGGCGGGAATGTGACAAAAACAATTTAAGAAAAATATGTAATCAAATTTAACTTAAAAACTTTATAAATACCTATGTATTTGTATGTTTTTTAATTACTTATCGGAATTTAAATATTTTTAGATTAAAATGTTCATAAAAAAATTAGGATAATTTACATAAATTTTATTTTCAAAAAAGTTACTGAAAAAAAAAAAAGTTAGGTTAAAATCATTATTTAATAATCTCGGGTTAAACTTTTAAGCTGTGAGGGCTGGAGGAGAAAAACAGTTTATGGGTTATGGTTTAAAATTTTCTGATTTAAATTTATAAGCTTTATCCCCAAGGGTTGGAGATGGTCTAAGGAAATGAGCAAAGAGAAGTCGAAAAAGCAACAAAAGCTAGCCAATCCCCAAAACCACATTTTTTAGAAACCGAATGCAAAGCATGACACGCCCCTATCCTGATATTCCCCGAATATCAGGATAGACACGTGCTGGTCGACACCCGAGAGTGACGAAAGCCATTTATTGAATGCAAATGCTGAGAAAAAGGCATAAATAAAACTTATAAATTTAATTATGAAGAATAAGCACTCAAGGAACGTGTTTAGAGCATACAACTAACTAGAACACTAAAAGAAATAATATAAAATTGAATGAAAAAAGAATGGGTCCTACGCCTAGAGGACTCGAAGATGCCGATGCGGAAATGCCTTGACGCCGGGATTATATGCCTCGATTCTAAGTCCTAAAGGAGGCGCAAAACAAACATGAGTGGACCAAATTGATATGTATATATAATGAAATGTTATCAACGTACTAACCCCCAGGTGTTATGAAAACACATATATATTATGATAAATATAGGTTCTCCGAAACCTAGCATGCTGTGCCATGTCTCAAATCATAATTTGTATATATAATAATCATTAGTGAATGTCCGATAACCCCCAGGCCCCATGCCGGCTCCCCATCCATGTGCTAATAGCTAGAGAAAACACACTTCAGGCCCTAGGCCAACACCAAACCGTCGCCCGGGATGAACCGCAATCTATCCTTACGTCCTGTAGCGGAAAAGACCACTAGGTAAGTACAAAACCATTGAACATACAGATATTGAAAAACAACTTCATAGTATAAAGTCATCCATCATCTATACTATAAAGAGGTGTTCTAAACATGTTCTAAATATCATATTGTCATCCATCAGATATTCTACAAGAACACGGGTTATAGGAAAAATAGTAATAATTCAAACTAGCCTCAGTAAGCATGTTATCTCATAAAACGTTTCATAAAACATAGTCATCAAATCATGCTTTTCATGTATGCATTTCTACTATCAAAACATGCATTTTTAGAAGGGGTCCACTCACAATACTTAGCTGCCGAAGAGCCACGCAACTAGCGAAGATGGAAACACCATAGTTAAGTTGCCCCTAAGCACATAAAGGCTACACTTAGTCAAACTCTACTCAAACGATTGAATTTGGGAAAACGGACATCGGAAACAGGTTCAGGACGTTGAAATTAGCCTAGGAAAGGTCCCGCATGAAAACCCAAAAAGTCAACGGTCAAAGTCAATGGATTCGCGGCAAGGGTTTTGGGTTGGACAGGGTTGGGCCAATAGGGTTTGGACTTGGGTTTGGGTTTTAGAATGCACGGGCCTAAGGCCTTAAAGGGAAAATGGCCCAAAGGCCGTTAAGTTAACAAAATAAAAAGAAATAAAAGGGTTGGGTTGGGCTGCCTAGGGTTTTGGGCTTGGCAGGAATGGCCCGAAGGCCTGGGAGGTTTCTTGGGCTGGGTTTCACGACCGAGAAGAAGGCCAAAATTTAGACAAACTTTGAACGTCCATAACTTTGTCAATACTCAACGAAATTAAGTGATTCAAAAAGGAAAGTTTTAGTACTTAATGAAATGAAGAGATTGATACCTTGCATACCGGCTAACTTGCCGTGGTTTGGCCGGAAATTTCCTCGAAAGGGGCGGTGCTCCTCGTCGAAAAATTTGGAAAACGCTTTCCCGAGTTACTTTGGAGTTTAAACCGTACCATAATAACTCAAACACTATCTAACACAATAACAAGTGCGATCTAAGGAGATTTAGGTGTGCTTTGCACTTACCTCGTCGGAAATCTCGTGCATAGTGATTGTGCACAGTGCCGAGATGGATATTGAAGGTGAGGGAGAGAAAGGTGAAGCTCAAATGATGAAGATGATGGTGAAGTCCTCCTAATGGCTGTGTGTATGTATGTTTGGGTGTGTGTGATGCGAAAATAGTTAAGCACACAAATTAAACCCTCTTTTTATCAATTGTAGTAAGTATGTAAGTAGGGATCGTTCTTAACCGGGGATTAGGAGGGATTGCAAATTACTTGGAAACTGACTCAAAAACGTAAAAAAAAGTTTAAAACACTAAACTAGACTCAAAGAATGCGAAACTAAACGCTTAAAATACTAAAACAAACCAAAAGACTCAAACATCACCCAAAACACTCAAAACTGCCTTAAAAACACTTTCTGGGCAGTTTTGAGCACCTTGGTGAATTTGGACGAATTTGTGCAACAAATTGAATCAAAACACTTATAAACACAACTTAAGACACTTTCTAACTAATTTGGACAATAAATTAAAGGGGTATTGGTTTTGGATGAATTTGAAATTAAAACAGAAACTTGGAAACAAAACAGATTGTAAAACGAATTTGATGGAATTGAATGGATGGGAAGCTAGCTAAGGAGTTCATCTCCACACATGTTACACTTGCATATAAAACGATTTCCAATTGCTTTTCAATAAACCATGATGCTCAACACCCCAAGTTAACCGTGATGCACTAATTAACTCTCAAATTTTCCTTATGTTATTGAATTGGATGATGCATGCGACAATTCAAATCATTCTCCAATGGTTCTCAACATGAATGCATAGAAGAGATACAATGAGAGATCATTATGCTCTATGAAAATTATAAGTGTTGACGAGGCAATTGTAACTATGAATGCATGATACTCTTGCCAAGAATTCATTTAACGCGATTGTTTATAAGCAACCTCCACTACTTGTGAATATAAGTTCATAACTATTAGGTGAAACTCACTTATATTCTAGCGTCATATTCATGCATGAAAATTAAGTGTGCACTCTCAATAAACATACATAAATAAGTTATCAATCAACAAATTGAATTCACAACTTATGAAACACAATTAGAAGTAATCAAATCATATTGCAAGCATAAACATATATTTCGAATCCCCCCTAGCCAAGGGGGAGTTTAGTTCCTCATACGTACAAAACAAAGAGAATTGAAATTAAACATTGAAACCAAAGAAACACCTAAACATTCCAACAACTCAAACTTGAATTGTATGAACGTTTAGGCCCTCTTCTCTTCCTCTTTATTGTGGCACAAGGTCTAAGGATAGTTTGATGGTGTGAATGGTTTGGGGAGTGGTGGAAATGGAAGGATGGTGTTTGGATTGTAAGGGAGAAGGCATGGCACAAGGGGATTTTCTGGAGTGTGAATGGTTTTTGCACGGCTAAGGGAAGTTGTGTGTGTCAATGGGAATGGTTTGTATGAATGCATTGCATGGTTTTATAGGGAGAGAAAGGGGTGAATGTGCATGTGGCTGCAAGGTGTGAATGATTATGGGTGCATGTGGTTGAAATAATTAAGGGAATGCATGTGCAAAATAGCTAGGAAAAGTTGTGGAAATCTGGAAATGGGATGGGAGTG